GTGGCCCGGCTGCTCCTGGGAGCAGTGAGCGGCGCGGACTCGGGCTGCCGGGTCTGTGGGAGGCGCCTCCCACCCACGGTCCTGGGGCTCCTGCCCCTTCGTGACGGGGGCGGGGGCCCGCGCTGCAGCCCCCGTTCCTCCGCATTTGTCGCGCCCCTGCCCCAGCCCGGAGTCACCCACACCCTTGCTGCCCGGGGCCCTGGAACCCCACCGCCCTCACCAAACTTTACTTCCGGATCCCCGGAATCTGCACCGCTTTTGAGTGGGAACATCCTTCACTGCGCCCCACATCGGGGACCCTTGGTGCAGACTGAAATGTTGCCCGCTCACGGGGGGGTCGAAGGAACAAGTACCGAGGGTGATGGGCACGTCAGGGGACGGGCCGGCTGGGCCGCTGGGGGCCCTCCGGGGGTGGGAGCAGCAGCCTTCTTGAGCTGAATCGTGGGCTCGCGGGAAGAGAGCCCCGCGCCGCGGGAGACGCCCCGCTGACACCCCGCGCTTGCCTCTCGCCTCTCAATGGAGTTTCCACGGCCTCCTGCCTCCGCATTGGAAAATGGGCAAAGGGAGAATGAGGAAACCTAAGACAGACAGTGACTTTGTGACAAAATGTCCCAACTCCCTGTTTGGGCCACAGTGACCCCAAGTGACCCCTGCCAGAGCGTGATCCTAAGTATCCTGTACGCTTGGGTGCCCACCAACCTACTGTCCTCAGAATCCCCTCAGAAAGAGTATGCCCCGGAATCGTGCCAGGGAAGGACGGGAATCCCAGCGCCCGCCGGGGGTCTTGGCAGGGTGGCCTTCGTGCAGCAGCAGAAGAATCGCGTTTGCCTTTGGTCCCAGCAATTGTGAGAGTGAGAGGGCAAGAGAGAATGAGTATGTTGGGGGCAGGGGGCAGGGTAGGGCTTGCTTCTCCAAGGGAAAGAGGCACCTTTGCTAGAGCTCAGGAGGTGATTCCTGAGTCCATTTAACAGCCATTGGCCACTGTTTAGATAGCATTTAGGAGGCGAGGCCTCCCTGAGGTGACATTTGAACAGACACTCTTGAGGTGTAGTGGGTGGCCTTTGCTCCAGGTTGAGAAAACAGTATAAAAAGCCCTAGGCTTGGCAGAAATGTCAGCACCAGAATGAAGAATGTGGCCTCTGCTTGTTGGAGGGTTCTCAGTTGGGTTCGTTGGATTTGTGCTTGGCTGAAAATGTGGTGCCTTGCGGGAGAAACAGGAATTGCACTTGTTGATTGCTTCAGCGCGACCTGTTAATTGCCCCAGGTTCATCCTCTGAGAGTTAAGCTAGTCTGAGAATTTAGCTTATCTGGGTTCTAAATTAGGGCAGGTTGGGAGAAGAACTGATTTTTGCCAAATTATCAGTTACAAAGGGTCCTGGGGTAGCTCTTTCAAGGTAGGACATTGTAATGAATGTGTGTGTTTTTTTTCCTTTTATTAAGATCAGGCCTTTGTGACACTGACCACAAACGATTCCTATGCCAAAGGAGCCCTGGTGCTGGGCTCATCTCTGAAACAGCACAGAACCACCAGGAGGCTGGCCGTGCTCACCACCCCTCAGGTCTCAGACTCTATGAGGTGAGGACTCCGCTGCTCTGTATGGTGGTGCTTGGACATCCCTCTCCCATTCCTGGCATCAGTGGGCACTGAGGCCATACCCTTTTCAGAGGTTGAGCACCAAGAGGGAGAAAGATGAGAGGTGCTGAGTGAAGGATTCCAGGGTCTGAAACCTCTGTCTAGCTTTTGGGAGATATGCCACCCAAGCTCCCTTCTGTGATGTGGTGGCCTGTCCTATGCTCTCACTGACTCTAAAGAGGAGTAGGACTCTTCCTTAGCAAGTCTTCTCAGGGTGATCTGAGTGCATTTCTGTCTAGGCATTCCCTTTATGTATCTCACTTCACGTGCACTCCTTTCCCAAAATGCAATAAGGGCTACTTGGTTTCCTATTTCAAACCAGGGAAACCTCAGGTGACTTTGAAAGAAAATAGCAGTTTTCTCCACTGCCATTGACATTGGTAACCTAAAGATTTTATTTTACAAATTAATAGATAAGTATATTTGCCAAAGGACTTTCTGAATTTGGGGTTGTCCTAGGAGAGCATCCTGAGGGGCACAAGCTGCTGGTTGATTGGGTTAGTTCACTTTTATTTGTTGGAATTAAATTTTGAAGTATCTGAATGAATTACCTGGTTCCTCATACTAACTTTAAAAATATCTGGGCACACTAGCAGCTCGGTATTTATTTTTGCATTCTTATATCCCTCTTAGAAATTGAAAACACCTTTTTAGTGACTTTTTTCAAGATATGTGAGCACATGCCAAGGATCTCTGAAAGGAGAATATATGTTTGTATGTCTACATCTACGTACATGTACACAAGCAGCCTTATTTCTAATGGGTAACTTAGGAAAATGCCAAAAAGTTTATCTCTTAGCCCTGGCAGGTATGGTTCAGTTGGTTAGATCATCAACCTGTACATCAAAAGGTTGTGGGTTCAATTCCCAGTCAGAGCACATACCTAGGTTGTGGTTTCAATCCCCAGTTGGGGTGCATATGGGAGGCAACCAGTTGCTTTTTCTCTTTCACATTAATGCTTCTCTATTTATCTCCCTCACTCTCTAAAAATCAATTAAAAACAACATAGCCTTGGGTGAGGATGTTTTTTAAAAAGTTTATCTCCTAATGTGTATGTCCTAATTTGATGTCTATTTAGTGAGGATGTGTATAAGAAGACAGATGTACTCTTAGTTTCCCTGCCTCCCCAGCACCCCACGCACCCCTGCACCTTTACTGTGGTAAATGGTGCCATTGACCATTTCTTTTCAAAAAGATCGAGTTTACTGTGTGAACTAGAACATATTTTTGTACAGCTCTGGAGACAGATAATACAACACCAGTTGTGTTTTGCATGTCTGATATAAGCTTTCAGTGATGATCTGTCTTTATCATGTTTTAACTTAGGTTGGGTTTTGTATCTTACCTAAGTAGACTCCCCTTACCCAGCTCAAAATTGCTTTGAAAAATAAATCTTCAGTTAATTGGGGCATGGAGAAGTGTTGTACTTCACAAACCAAAGTGAGTCTCTCTTTATGCCAGGAGTGCTAAGCACATAATAAATGCTGGTTATATTCTATTCTAAGAAATGGCCACCGAATAACCAAGCCCTTTCACTTCTTTTGGGACACACAGATTCAGGCAGTTCTGTCAACTTCTTTAGCAAAAGTGATTAGTTACAGGCTTCATTGCAGACATTATATGTACTTCACTCAGCATCATTTGTAAAAATATGCAGTAGTCAGAATCAGGTCTAATAAGATATCATTGTTAAGTAGGCTGTTGCGAAGATGTACTCTTAGCACATGTGAGTCACTTCTACAAGCTGTTTCCATGGTTTGTCTGGTATTCAGCGGTACAGTAAAAAATAGAAACTTCTTTAATAATGTCTTAAGACAAGTGCTTCATGCTCGCCATAAGCAGTTCTTATTATTTTAGTGAAGTTACCTACAGATGCGAATTAACATAATTTGTCCTGAGGTAAATTAGGACATATTTAAGAGATTGTGCTGTGCCAAAGTCACAGATTACTCTACTAATGCATGGGTAGGCCAATAAGAATACAGCCGTACGTTAGATGCCACTTATTCTGAAAAGTTGCTAACCACTGTTTTTTACTTTTATTTTGACAGGAAAGTTTTAGAGACAGTCTTTGATGAAGTCATCACGGTAGACGTTTTGGACAGTGGTGATTCTGCTCATCTTACCTTAATGAAGAGGCCTGAGTTGGGTGTTACGTTAACTAAACTCCACTGCTGGTCACTTACACAGTATTCAAAATGTGTGTTCATGGATGCAGATACTCTGGTGAGTGTGGCTTTGATGGCTAAAAAGCTGTATATTGCAGCTGGGATCAGTTAGACATTAGAGGAAGGCTGCCAAGACTTGACTGTCAAGTTCAGGTTAAAATAAGTGTCAGGTGATGAAGGAGAGCAGGCCCAGGCCGCCTTACAGCTGTCATCTGCATGGTTAAGACCAGCAACAGATTGCATCTTTTGTGTTGGAGGACTTAGAGAGACCTTAAGAACATTTCTGTAATGCTTTCTCTCCCCCCTCTTTGAATCAGGTCCTAGCAAATATTGATGATCTTTTTGAGAGAGAAGAATTGTCGGCAGCACCAGACCCAGGGTGGCCTGACTGCTTCAATTCTGGAGTCTTTGTGTATCAGCCTTCGGTGGAAACATACAGTCAGCTGCTACATGTTGCTTCCGAGCAAGGTAGTTTTGATGGTATGTATCTGTTATCTTTATATCTGATAAGCTGTTAGTTAACTTCTAGGAGCTGCTCTTCTCAGGGATATAGTTGCTAAGGTTCCTTTTGCCTAGAACACAGCATTACATGAGGTGTAGCAAGCCTTTTATGTTGTGTACTTTTGGAAATACTAGTCTGTGTTCCTGTGTGTACATGCATCTTTTTTCTATAGGTACATACAAGTAACCTAACTTAGGACAGGCAGTTTACAGACTTGCCTTTCATTGCTTTTCCTGTGTCTAAATTAGAGTATGATAAATGAACCATGATTATTCAAGAATTCAAAAGACTGAGACAAATAAAAAACTTTAACAACTATCTTTAAACCTGAGTAAACCTATGTGCAAGACCTAACAGGACCAAGTGTTTTTCCATGGAAATTGGAGGCATAAACCCAATAATTTGGCTCTACCCCCTTAGGAGACATTAAAAAAAAAAAGATAGAAAGTTTACATGAATAATCTTTGTCTCCATATTTTCATTCTCTATAAGGCTTTGCATCAGATAGAGTGGTATCTGCAAGGCCAAAGAGCAATTCATTGGCAAAGTCAGCATCCATTTTCCATAATGTATAAGTGTATCTGTAGCGATATGTAGACAGAAAAGTTCTGACTACTTGTGATTTAGGGCCTCACATCCTTTGGCGAATTTTGATCACATGAATTAGTAGATATGCTTCCATTTCAGGACAGTGTCTGAAATAAATAATAAGCTGGCTTTTTTTTTAACAACAAAACCATACACAACAAGACAAAACTAGCAGTTAAAATGCAAAAGCAGCTTTTTAAAAATTAATGTTGATGAACCTTTTGAATAAAGGGAAGACCCAGTGTATCTAGGAAGGACATGCCTAGGGAGAATCCCCTCTCAGCAGTGACTCACTGTCAGATACGTGGCAAAGGCCCAGGCCAGGAATACTGCTGGGCTAGGCCAGAGCCTGAGCTATGCAGCAGACCAAACCCTGGCGGGGGGCTTCTGTCCTCCCTTCCCCTTCCCTCGAGCAGACCGGAGATTTTCAGTGAGTAGATCTTTTGAAAATAGCAGAAACAGCCTACTTCATGGACATAAGTTTCAGACCTGGGTGCAGATATAAGGATTCATTTCCATTTACTAGTTATAAATATAAAAATCAGAATCTAAAATTTAATCTTTCTAAATTAAAAGATTAAATCTAATAGTTTGTCTGAAGTTAAGAGATTGGAAGTTAAAACATTTTAAGTAATATATGACACAAATTGGGATTTTGATGATGCTGTTCACTGAAATTGAATTCTGTTTAGTTATTTGAGAATTTGGAATATGCAGCTATTTGAAATGTTATTGAAAAAACTAGGGAAGTTTAAGTCTCAATCTTGTTTCACTATTTGGCTAGTTTATATTCTGTGCCAGTAGTTCTCAACCTGGGGTGATTTGGCCCCCCAGGGAATGTTGGCAATGTCTGGAGACATTTTTGGTTTTCATGGCTGAGTGGGGAAGATGCTCCTGACATCTAGTGAGCAGAGGTCAGATGTGCTGCCGGATGTCCTACAATGTACAGGACAGCCCGCACTGCAAAGAGTTATCCCACCTAATATGTCAGTAACGTGAAGGTTGAGAAACTGCTCTATGCCAGGATGTTACATGTTCCAAAGCAGCAGAACTATCTGGACTGTAATAAATGGCAGCATCTGACATTAATCAGTCTTAAGTAAGAAGTAATGTGTTGAGTGTTTATGGTGGTCAGGGCCAAGTATAACTTCTTCACTTGACTGACTCATTTTTTAGTTCCTATTTTCCTTTCATATAAGGAATGAAAGCTGTATTAGTATTTGAATTCAAAACATGTATTCCTTATATCTACTGCTTATACTAAAAGTTACCTTTGCATAAAAGGAAGATAAGAGTATTTTAGCAGAAGTCCACTGTTTGTCTTAACCTTCCTGTAAGAGCATAGCTTTCTTCACCTCCTCTCATTGAATTTGAAGGAAGTAGTGTAATTCTGCCAGAAATTCAGTATAAAGTCTGAATTCCAGTAAGCAAATCACATTCTAAAGTAGACCCAGTGGCCTGAAATCCACTTGATTGTAAGAGAGCATAAAGAGAATTCTGTTCTAATGTAGAAGAATGTTAGATGGTGGTGTTTGGAGAGGAGTGGATACCAGGCAGTAGTGTGCCATGGTGACAGTTTTAGAATGTAAACTAATTACCTGGTAGAGATCAACCTGGATTGTCTACCTTGTTCTAAAATCAAAAGGTGCTAGAGGAGTAGATGAATTTGTTAAGATGTATGGACATACCCCGGCCGGTGTTGCTCAGTGGTTAGAGTGTCAGCCTGCATGCTGAAGGGTCTCTGTTTCAATGCCTGGTCAAAGGCACATACCCCAGTCAGGGTGCGTGTGGGAGGCAACCAGTTGATATGTCTCTCTCACACTGATGTTTCTCTCTGCCCCTCCCCTACTCTCCCCCACACACTCTGAAAAGCAATGGAAAGAATATTTTCAGTTGAGGATTAAGAGAAATAAAAAAAAGTAGGGGTGTGTAAAAAATGTTCAACTAGAGAACACTTTTTGCTTTTACAGCCAGAATCTGGACCCACAGCGAGGTTTCCTCTGTGCCTGCAGCACTCTTCCTTCAGTAGCATGGCTTCCAGCAGCTGGCCTTTTGGAAGGGGTTCCATACACTAGCTCTTTGATGGTGAGGGGTTGAATTTTCTCTAGTAACAGAACTGCTTAATTGACAAAGTTGAAAATTTAACTATGCAGATGGGAACTTATAGTTATTCTCAATGTGTTGTTTAAGTTCAGAAGAATAAAATAGTAGCTTTTAAATGCAAGGTGGTTTTTGATTGATATGTTGATTAGCTTTACTCATCAGAGAAAGTTTCCTCCATGCTTCAGGAGGCTGCTCCTCTCTGGAGGGGTTTACAGTAGTCCTCCCTTATCCATGTTTTGCTTCTGTGGTTTCAGTTTTCTGTGGTCAATCACAGTCCAAAAATATTAAACATGGAAAATTCCAGAAATAAACAATTTATAAGGTGTAAATTGCACGCCATTCTGAGTAGCATGATGAAATCTCATGCTGTCTTGCTCCATCCTGAATCATCCCTTTCTCCAGCATTCACATGTTGTATACACTCCCCGCCTGTTAGTCACTTAGTATCCATCTTGGTTATCAGATCAACTCTCCGGATTATCACTGTGCTGGTGTTCAAGTCACCCTTATTTTACTTAATAACAGCCCCAAAGCACAAGAGTAGTGATGCTGGCAATTCAGAAATACCAAAGAGGAGCCGTAAAGTATATGTGTATGTGTGTGTATGTGTGTGTGGGTGCGGGAAAAAACAACATATGGGGTTTGGTACTATTTGCAGTTTCAGGCATCCACTCTTGGTCTTGGAATGTATTGCCTGCAGATTAGGGGGACTATTATACTATCTTATTGAATTCATACCTGTGTGACATAAAGACTTATTTGACTTACACTTAATATTAATAAAACATTTCTTTGTAAGCTGCATTCTTTTTAATGGCAATAACCTTGCTTGTGCCTCAGGTGTTCCATACAGTGCCCAGTTTTGTTTAGGTGTTATGCCGCAGGCGAGACAAACATTTTCAGATGTTTCCTTTCACTGTACCGTACATTTTCTAATATCCACAGGTATCTGTCCAGCCCCTCTCCCTCCCCCAGTTTTCCTGAACAGGGTGCTTAATCCCCAGGATTTTTAGACTGATATTAAAGAAAACTGGTTTGCACATAACCGTATCTCAGTCTGAATATCTTGCAAGTCTTGCTTAATTTCTTGCAAATAGTCAACAAAAACTGATAGGGCCTGGTGTCCACTGACAAGTCACACAGGCTGCTGATGGCTGAGCATTTGCAGCTGTTTTCACTGCTCTTCTAATGGGAAAGAATGTGGCTGTCGTTCTCTAATCACTGGTCCTCAATCACACCCACCCCCATCACCACCTCTGGTCAAGAGAATAATCCTAATATGGCAAATGGTGCTGGGTACCTTGACTTCTTTCCTCCCAGATACCTGGAACATTAGAATTTAGAGCCAGTGACTACATACCAAATTCATGGCTGGCTGGCATCTAATTTCCCACAGTGAGGTGTCTAAGTTCCTCTACTGTTGTTTGTATTTGCAAACTGTCTTGCCACTTACTTCACATCTGAAGTTACATGTTTCCTGAAAGTTGAGCAATAGCTGTTGTGAAACAAATGTAAACTAACATTTTATAAAATGTTAGTTTACAAGATAAGGTTAACTTCAGGACTTGTTAGCAGTAAGAGGGAGAAAGAGAAATCATGATATCTTAGATACTAATCAGCAATTCTGTCTCCATACACTCAGGTGCAATGAAACTGATGCACTTGATGCTTAATTGGAAGAAAGCAGTCTGAATGCGACTTGAGGTTTATTTTATTTTCTCCTATGACTGTAATGTATCTAAATTAAGGGTGCTTATACACTTGAAGACAAGAGTTTAGTGCTTGAGAATTGCTGTCAAATTTCTAAAAACCTAAAAAGAGCAATTCATGTTTTCCAATTTATTGTTTTCTTAAAAAAAAAGTCTTGGGATTCATTTTAATTACTGTAACCTAAATACCCTAAACTTTTTATTGGAGTAATACAATTTTGGTCTATGGTTGAATTTTCAAAAGTTTAGGAGAGAATAAGTTGGTGATAGAATATTAGATACGGTTTTACTTTCAGCAGAATCCAGGCTCTGCTGTGAGTTCATTGCACGTGTGTGTTCCACGTTCTAATGCTAAGTGGTCACCGAGACTCTTAAATTGTAAGATCTGTTTTTTTCTGTGCTTGGAGATGTAGTAAATGAGGAGAGTACAATAAGGTTTCAAAATGATTTTTAACAGAACAGGTTTGGTACTAAGTTCTGTTAAGTGCAAAATTGACCCCAGTTCCACTTTTCCTAATCTTTGTAGTTAGGCTTCAAACTGAACCTGCCCAAAAAAGGAATGAAGGGAAAAGGTATTTCCAGATAGTACTAGTACAAATCAAATGAGCTCAGAAACTGAAGTCCACCTCACTTGGTTTTCTGCCTGGATAGATTCATCCTTGATAGCTGCCTGTGGTAGGCTTGTCTCAGCTGCCCAAACACTAGGCTGCCCATGGCCTTTAGGGTGTTTCATCAATTGCTTTGAAAATTACTCTGTTCTCTTGCATTTGTCATTGAGTTGATAATTTGGCTAATCAGTATATTGAGTCAGTAAAGTTGAAAAGCAAAAGTTAAAACGTAATAGCAAAATAAGTGAGCACACACAAGTTTTTTCTTAAGAGCTATTTTTATCTCATTGTACCCATGAGTATTTTTTTAACTTAGCCATCTGTTTGTCTCTAGCCTTATAACCAGCAGAGATGGTCAACCTCCTGAGAAACAGAGAGGGAGGGAGGGACTAAAGCGTTACATGTGTACGGGCTCTTGTGCTCATCATTTTGCTTACTTTTTCACATATTTTTCACTAGTCCTATGAGGTAGTCATCCATTTGTTCACTCATTAATGTATCCAGTTAACAGATATTCGAGGGCCTGCTATGTAGCTAGTACTGGGTACCTGATGTCCTTAGGGTTCAGGACAGCAGCTTGCCCAGTGCCCAGAGCTGGTGGCAGAACCATGTCTGAACCACAGACTTCCTCAACTCTGTGGCTGAGTTGTATGTGTAGGTTTTTTCCTTTTCTCCCAGTTATCCCATACTGCAATATGCACAAAAATATATCCTGCGAATGATACAAATCTTTTTAAAGATGAATGTCTTAAAATTCACTTCTCTGAGAGAGCAGCTAACATATTTCACATTTTGCAGATGAAGAAATGGAGACTTACATCGTCTATCTCTACAGCCACAATAAATTAAATCTTTCCCTCTGAGCCACAGTATTTAGCAGTACTTTGTCTTTTTAAATCAGTAGCACAGTTGATAGTCTTGTATTGTTTTATGGGTCTGGAAATATTCTTGGAAATACACTCTTGCCTGCATTTCTATAGTCCATTTATTCAGTATTTCAAAAATTACTTTAGCTTCTAATCTGGGCAAGATGCTAATTTTAAGGGCCAGGAATAGGCTGGCAAAAAACAGACTTTATTGCTGCCTCTCTAAAGCTTATAGCTTATGAGCTTTTATACTTAACAACTAATTACACAATTAATTATGTAATTATGAATCTGATAAGTTCAGGGTGCTAAGGGAATCTAGANGTTATAGCTTATGAGCTTTTATACTTAACAACTAATTACACAATTATGTAATTATGAATCTGATAAGTTCAGGGTGCTAAGGGAATCTAGACCAGGAAGACCTGCCTTAGACTGAGAAAGTGAAAATTAAGCCAAGAATAAATGTTTTCTTGAATTTATATAACTAATTAATAATCGGTTATTAAGAATCCTTTTTTGCCCTGCCTGGGTGGCGCGGTTGGTTGGAGCATCATCCTGTGCACTGAAAAAAGGTTGTGGGTTCTGTTCCTAGTCAGGGCACATACCTAGGTTGCTGGTTCAACAGGAGGCAGCCAATTAATGTTTCTCACATCGTTGTTTGTGGTTTTTCTTCTCTCTCCCTCCACCCCTTCCTCTTGCTAAAATCAATAAGCATATTCTCGGTGAGGATTAAAAAAAATAATCTTTTTTTAAGATGGAAAAAAAAAGCTAGAACATAAAATGGTAAAAAAAATCCATTATTTTTTACTTGAGTGGAGGCCAGTGAGATGCAGTGATGCTAGGCCCAAGCTCTGAATGCCTGGATTTGCCTGGGGTTAATCTGGTGACCCTCAGTAAACTTCAGAGATTCCCCATTCACAAGTTAATTTTGTTGTCCTTGCCATATCGCTCTAGGCAGGGGTGATGGTGCCAACCAAGTGTATCGTGCGGAGTGGGTGCTAAGCAGGGAGCCACATTTTCTTGCCAGCATTTGTGATATCTCTATTATAATATTAAGCGTATTTTACTGTAGATTATTTTCTTGATATCTGCCCCCTTAATAGGTTGGGAACTACTTGAGAGCTAGAACATATCTTATTCATCTTCTTATGTACAGTGTCTACACCTAATTTATTTAACTCAGACATTTTCTATAGAAATGACATTTCTGAGAGTTACATTCTCTGACATAACAAAATAAAAAAGGAGACATTCTCTAAAAGACTCTAGACCAGGGGTGGGGAACCTTTTTTCTTCAAGGGCCATTTGGATATTTATAATATCACTCCTGGGCCGTACAAAGTTATCAGCTTAAACGTTAGCCTGCTATATTTGGTTAACATTTAATTGCCCCTAATGTGATGGCTGGAATTGCTGGTCTGGTGAGGCCTTTGCAGGGCCAGACTTAATGATTTTGCTGGCCATACCTGCAAGCCAGATGGCCAGATATTCCCCACCCCTACTCTAGACCATTGCTTTTCAAATTTTAATATACAAGCAGACTACCTGGGGATTTAAATGTGAATTCTGATTCTGTAGGTCTGGGTGGGGCTTAATATTCTGCAGTTCTCTTAAGCTCTCAGGTGATGCCCATGCTGCTGGAACCTGCACCACACTTTGAGTAGCATGATTCTAGGGGGAACGTTCCTGTGGCTGAATACTGGGGTTCATGTTTAAATAAGAATTGACCCACCCTTCCTGCTCTCCACAGCAGGCAAGCCAGCTGCCAACAAACTGTGGAAGAGCACTCAGACTGCACAAGCACTAAGCAAGGGCACAAATTTAAGAGATAGTACTCGGTGCTGTTTCTGTCTTATAGAACAATAGGTCCATTTTCTGACAAATGCTGTAATATGTCCATGGCAACCAGGTTCATGACATGGTCAAAAGACCTGGAAAATACCAAGTGGTTGTAGATTTTTACTAGCACTTGGCAGCCTGGTGGAAGGATATTACAGGATCAGGTATTTGCTTTTGTTTGCAAGATGGGTGCCACGTGTTCCTTATTCCACATCCTTGCTCTCTCCCATCTGTGTCACCACACCCTGGCCTGCTGGATCACAGCTGGCAGCATGCCTGCTAATCATGTTTGTCGGTGCTGAGATGGTTGAGATTAAGAATGTCTGAACCTGTCAGAATAAATAAGGTTGCCTCTCGAATTTGACTGGAACGGGTGTTTGTAGTGGAAATCCAGCAGTCTTCATGGCATCCTTATGTGTTTAGTAGCACAGCCGTGCTTAGATTTGCATATTGCTTTGAACTGTGCTCTAGTTTAGGGACTTCTAAAGAGAGGATATGGATAACACCACACATAGATTTTTCTGATGAAGCTAGAACATTTGTCTGACTGAGATGGGGAGTTGTACATTTGGAAAAAGATGGTTAGAGTGCTAAATTTAAAAATTACTTAAGCCACAGACTTCTAGGTGGTGGTTAACTATTTTTAATTCACAACTTTTGGCTGAAAGGTGACCCTTTATCACATAATGAGAACAGTGGCCTTGGAAGTTTCATTATCTGTAGTGACCTGAAGGAAAGGTCCCTGTTGAGGGATTAAGGTTTTGTGAATTGAATGGGCACCATTGATCATAAGTCTCCCACCCTGCCTTTTCCACTTCATGCTTGTATCCTGTGCCAGCAGTGCTTCTCAGCTCTGCTGTGGCACATGGCTGTTTGTAAGGTACCCGAGGGTGAATGGAAAGGGCCTTTGGTGCCCAGAGGCAGCCAGCCTGGGCTCTGAGGGATCAGCAGCTCTGCTCGTGTTTCCCAGGCTTACCCCATCGGATTGGGCATTTCTCTTTTACAACTGCTATGCTGACCTCCATGGACTTCTAGAAGGATTTTTTCACTACATTACATGTAGATAGTAGTTTAAGTAGAATTGTTTAACAAAGGTCTTACAGTGTGGCATAAGAAAACAAGAAGTGAAAAAAATATGATACCAATTTTACAAAGTTCACAAACCAGCAAAACTCTGTAGTCCCCCTCTACAGACCATCTCCCAGGTCTTCCTTCGATAGCTTCATGTTCCTGCCCACCACAGGTACTTGGTGTGTGCCGTCTCTTCTGCCTAGCCTTCTCTCCACCTGCATTTGTCAAGTACTCCTGTGCACTCCTCAGAGCTTGACGTCAATACAGGTCCTCGTGGAAGCCTTCCCTGATCCATCAGACAAGATCTTGAGCCACTTCCATGTGCACTCATGGTTCCCTGTGGTTTCCTTCACTGCCCTCCTCCCCATTTCTGATGGTGTTTATTGATTCTTGGTTTGCTGATATCAGTACCCCGACCTCCATCCCTCCCAAACCCTGGTGAAGGTGATGACCACGTCTCTGTTAACCATTGACACTGCAGTGCCTGGTACAGTGTCTGGCACACCGTAGCTGCTCAGTAAAATATATGTTGAAATAATGAATTAACTCAGAGACATGGCCACCCCCTAAAATGTCCTTAGTAGGCTTAACATGGAATTTCTTATTTTAAAAATGGAATCAGTACCTGTTTTTAAAGGTCTAGGCATATATTCCTATAAAATTATTGAACTGTCCTTGAAGTCTGTGACTTTAATTTGCTTTTGTTTTGTTTTTCTTTCAGGTGGGGACCAGGGTTTACTGAACATGTTTTTTAGCAGCTGGGCAACAACAGATATCAGAAAACACCTGCCATTTATTTATAACCTAAGCAGCATTTCTATATACTCCTACCTCCCAGCATTTAAAGCGTAAGTGGGAACCGTTTCATTGTTGGGGATGGTGAGAGCAGGGGAATGGGTTTAAGATTTTGGGATTCATTGTCAGCCTGAGGGCAATAGCAGGTGGGAAACTTTGAGGGAAGTCTTTCTCTCACAAGAAGCATGGCTGTGCTGGGGAGGGGCACTGATGTCATCGATCACTTTCTGCTTAGAATAACCTTCAGGGCACTCAGCTGCCTTATGGGAAAAAGGTCCCATCGGTTGCTGGGGTGCCTGGACCTCTGATAAACCATCTGTATGTCATGGTCAAGAACACAGACTGGGTGCAGACCCCACTTCTGCCTCAGGCTAGCTGCTGAGGTTCCCTTTCTTCATCTGTAAGTGAGGGTGTTAACAGCTCCCTCCATGTGGTGCTGGGGATTAAGCAAGATGCTAACAGCAGTGTGGTGTCATGGCCGAGAACAGGGCTGTGGGTTGGACTCCCTCAGTTCACATCCTGGAGTAGCCATTTCCTGAATGGTTAGTGGTGACTAAACTTGTAGTTTAGCAGAAGTTGCATGTCTCTACCTCAGTGTCCCATAGAGGTTACCGTGAACAGTAATCGAGGTGGGTGGAACAGGGCCTGGCCTACCCTGAGCACTCCGTGAGCATTGGGTGATGAGTCCTTTCTGTTTGTGGGGTGGGAGAGCATAAGAGTAATCTCTTTCGGCCTCCCCTGCCGCTACCTGCTGTTGTATGGTTTAGGCTGTACCGCAGTTCCCCGTATGCAGACCAGGAGGAAAGTTACACCTGCCTCAAGGGGTTGTCCTGAAGATGACTTGAGTTTAGTCACATCAAGTGTTCAGTGGATACCTGTTATTTTTGGCAGCGTGCTTGTTTGGCACTGTCCCTGGTGCTGTTCTAACTCAACTAATGCAGCCAGGTTGCAGCAGTTGTCTCACTCTGAGTGCCTGGGCCCTGTCCTTTAGCCTCTGACTCATTTGTGTTGAACCAGGATGATGATTCAGGTTTCCTGAGCAGGGGCCAAGCTGTCAGGTGGATTCTGAGATGTAGCCATGAGTAGCAGAGCTCCCATTGAGCTGGGCTTGGCTCTCCAATGTCTGTCCCACGTGGCATTCCTGAGTGAGCAGAAAACAAAGGGCCTTTCACTCTTCCTAGTTCACTATCCAAAGTCCCCTCTGTGAGTCTTGCATACAGTAATGAGCATGTTTAGACTTTTGTGGCAGAAATGTTTCCTTTTCTTTTCTGGGCAGACTCTGTCGCATCCCCCAGATATGGGTTATAAGTATCTTGTGTTCTTTCCTCCCTAACTGTTCTCTTGGCATGTGTCTCCAACATATTTCAGCCTCTTGACTCTCTTCCCTTTCTAGCACAAAACAGGCAAACTCTCAAACACACCAACTGTGGTTTGAGGAAAGCAAACAGAATGGGATTCACCATCGAGGGATGAAATGGGAGAAGCATTATTTGCCTCTCAGTCCTTGGCCTTATAAAGTAAAAACCTGTCTTGCTTGACACTGTGGGCCTGATTCTTTTTAATCCATACTGCCTCATAACCTTGCCAGTTTCAACACTGTCCCTGCAAACCATGATAGCTGATCCCCAGAAGTGACTATGTCTGTAATAGGGCAATGGCTTAATTTGACTAGATTCAGCTAAGCAAGAAATGAGAGTATGAAGGAGAAGGAATCATTAATAGCGTGAGCAGCTCTACCTACCATCCCACTCAGTTCTGCAGAGTGAGCACAAGTCCTGGGATGAATATGTGGGAACATGGGGATCTGACATCCTGCCAATTGGTCTCACTTCTCAGTCAGGGTCATCCTAGCGTTTGAAGAATCGTGGTTTTCATGTAACGCAGCCCCCAGTGCCTAGCAACTATTTCCCCTGTGCTCATTGAGAGTCCATCTGATTTTCATCTTACTGCCAAAGATGAGCACAATATCTCTTTCAGTGACAGACACTAGTCTCATTTGTTTTATTTGAGAAAGAAAAACAAAAAGCAGGTGGAGCACAGTTAGTTTTCAGGGGGAAGATAAGCTTGTTTGCTAGAACCTTGGCCCCTCTTTCAAGAATCCAGTTTTAATATCTCCTAAATGAATATCTCAGAAAAATAGTTTGAGATCTAAGTTACCAAAATGGTTAGGATGGTTCCGTCTTCCTGGCTCAACAAATAAGTGCTCATTTTTAGAAATCTCCTTAGTGTATCGGCGTAATCATAGGGTGACACACTGGGGAACTTGGGAGCAGCTCCACGTTAGTCAGTTGGCCTGTGGCCTGGCAAGAGTTAGTGCCGCATCCCTGCAGCTCACCCCTGGGGGTGTCAGCTCTAGGGTCCTGTAATAAGACTGCTTGGAGCAATGCCTTCTCTTACCCCATTGCCACCTGTTTAGGAATGTTGAAACCAGATCAGAGAACTTGTTTTCCTCTCCCCTCTGCCAGAAAATGTTTTTGGTGGGGTTTTTTTTGTTTGTTTTTTGTGTTGTTTTTTGCAGAGACCCATCTCTAAAGCCATCTTTCCTTACATTTTTTTCTTACAATTAAGAAGGGCTGAAAATTCAGGCAGATAGTCATATTCCTTTTTTGTTTCAAATTCTTGTAAAATTGTAACCTGAATCTTTTAAGCTGAAATAGACTATCCTGAACATTCAAGTCATTATAGATACACCCCAAAGAGCCCTGTGGGCCTCTGGGAGCTCAGCACAAATTAAGATCCCACTGCTGGGCTCAGAATAACCGTGATAGTTTCCAAGACTGAGCAGCCCCATGGTTGGCTGGCCTTCCTAGCACAGCAAGCAGGGTGATGGCAGGTAGAATGAGAAACCTTGGAGTGGTTTAGAGCAACTTGGGCTTCATGGAAGGAGTGGAGAACTTGTCTTACCAGCTCCAAGCAGCCATGTGCCATGAGACCACCATGGAAGTATTAGATGCCCAGAACCTTTGAGCTTTGGATGGATAGCTGAGATTTGAATGAATACTCAAACATATCTTTTGAAAAACAAAATTAGTAATATTTTCTGTAACAGAAGAACTTCTTTAACATGGCATAATCTGAGAACAAAATTGCTTGGTTTAGTAATTTTTAAGTTAATTTGTAATGTATGCATTGATAAACAAGTTCATAAATGCACTTTTTACTGAAATAATATTTTTGAAAGTGCCGAGCATAATGTTTGGGAAATAGCAGGCTTTAGGTCAATATTAGTTTCCTTTAAATTTTCTCCATCTAGAGGGCCAGTTTATTTTATCTGTGTAGCATAGAATTTGGCTTGTGCGTAGCACTAGAGAAATTCTTTTCAGTCTTTTTAGAATTAGTCATATAGTTCCATTTTAGGACTCTATGGTACCCACTGGCTGAAAGCTGTGTGCATCTCGCTATGCTGTATAAACAGGCCCAAAGCAAAGGTAAAGAACTCTCTGGCATTGTTTCAAACTGCCACACCAATTAATTGGTCAAATTGATTTACTCAAAAGCTTGATCTACCAAATAATTTCCAAAGAAACATTTTCCCTTACTTTTTCACTTGAGTTTAGATGTGATCTGGCCAAGTGTCCGAACTAGGTCTAGAAACCTGAAAGATTTCTTTCTATTTGTTCACTGCTTTAACCTTCCTAAGGATATTTATATCCATTACTTCTTTTTTCAGGAATGTGGTTTATTCACTAAGATTTTATCAAAACTCTTTAAATCAATGTTTCCAAACATGAAATTGAACTTTAGTGTACTGAGTTCTGTTGTTCTAGTGCATTTCTGATTGGAATGGGTTTCTGAGCCCCGAGATCTGCTTGGCTCCAGCTCTCCTCGAGATTGCTGTCATTTGTTCAGAAAGCCATAGACTTTCTGTGTTCATTCCTTCTCTCTCTCCCACCTCTACACCTAAAACCCTGAGGCACTGTCATTTGGGTCATTCTTTCTTCTTCAGCCATCTGTTCGTCTGCTCACCATTTATCAGCAGGCCTGGAACATGGAGAGGGTGTCACACATTCTGCTCATGGGGGCTGTGAAGATGAGCGAGGGAGCTGGCGTCTCATCGCCCTAGCCACTGCCAAGGTGTGCGGTTTCCTTTACATCACATGGCACGGGCTGGGGTTTCAGTTTTGAAGGAAAATCAAGTGGAGAGTGCATGGATGTCTTGTTTGTCCTTTCTGGGCATTGGTGATGCTTGTTGGGCCCAGATGTTCATTTCTGGTCGTCTGACTTCATATTTAAGTGTTTATTGCTTTCAGATGATCTGTCCTCAAGTCTCACCTCTGCCTGTTCTGCTCTCGTACCCTGGTCCTCATCACCAAGGGAAAGCCTGACAGTAGGCAAAAAGGGCACAAGGAATATTATCGCATGGGCAGGAGTCTGAGAAGTGCCTTCTCAATAGGAGAGGGAGCTCCTGGGATTGAGTGTCATAGGTACCCTCCTCCGAGCTCTCAGGCTGGTGAACTGCAGACTGATTGTCCCACAGATATGTTGTCCCTCTCACATAGGTTTGTTTGTTTTTTCTAAGTTGTCAATGCTTAAAAATTAGGGAATTTCATATGAATTGCAGATTTCCAGCTTCTTATGAAAAAGTCAGATATTCAAGGGAATTTGGGAGAAAGATGTCAAAGATGACTGTTACAGGTTTGGGGCCTAAGCAGCCAGAACAAAGGAGTTGCCATCTCCTGCGATGGGACAGACTGTGGGTGAAGCAGGTTTGTGGGCAGGGATTGCTAGAGATGTATTGAGTGTATTGAGTTGGAGGTGCATATTGAACATCCTGGTGAAAATGTGGAATGAGTAAGGTGTAAGAGTTGGGAGTTGAGGAGAGAGGTCTGGTGGGACACAGCTATAGGAGCTGTCAGCATATAAGTGATATTTATAGCCATGGGACATGGTGATGTAACCAGAAGAGTGATTTTGATGGGAAAGCCCTGAAGACTGAGCCCTGAGGCAGGAGAATGAGGAGGAGCAGGGACCAGAGTCCGAATAACACAGCAGGAGAAGCCCAGCAAAGTGAGGTGCTGCACAGGCCAAGCAAGGAACCCTGTGAGGGAGGAGA